GGCTGACCCAAAGCCAGGAGCCAGGTGCTCTCCTGGTCTCCCATGGGGTGCAGGGCCCAAGCACCTGGGCCATCCTCCACTGCACTCCCTGGCCACAGCAGAGAGCTGGCCTGGAAGAAGGGCAACCAGGACAGAATCCGGCACCCCGACCGGGACTAGAACTTAGTGTGCCGGCGCCGCAGGCGGAGGATTAGCCTATTGAGCCATGGCACCAGCCGGCTGCTCCACTTCTGATCCAGCTCTCTGCTATGGCCTGGGAAAACAGCGGAAGATGCCCCAAGTCCTTGGGGTCCCTGTACTTCCTGTACATGGGGAGACCCACATGAAGTTCCTGGCTCCTAGCTTTCAGCCTGGCCCAGTCCTGCCCATTGCAGCCATTTGGGGAGTGAACCAGTGGATACAAGGTTCTCTCTCTCTCTTTCTCTCTCTCTTTCTCTCTCTCTCTCTCCTTTTCTTTTTCGATTTATTTATTCATTTGAAAAGCAGAAATACAGAGAGAAAGAGAGAGATGGAGAGAGAATCTTCCATCTGCTGATTCACTCCCCCAGATGACTGCAATGGCCAGGGTTGGGCCAGGCCAAAAACTTCATCCGGGTCTCCCATATGGGTTCAGGGGCCCAAGGACTTGGAACATTTTCTGTTGCTTTCCCAGGCGCATTAGCACAGAGCTGGATCGGAAGTGGAGCATTCAAGACTCGAACCAGCACCCATACGGTTTAACCTTCTATGCCACAGTGCTGCCCCCTAAATAAATCTTGAAAAGAAAAAAAAAATCTTTGCATCTTCAGAGGTTCAAGTTTTAAAAAATAAATAAGGACAGGCAAAATAATAGGACAGCATGTGGCACTTGGGGACAAGTCCCAGTTCGGGACAAGTCCCAGTTCGCCCCCTTTTTTTTTTTTTTTTTTTTGTTATCGACAGGCAGAGTGGACAGTGAGAGAGAGAGACAGAGAGAAAGGTCTTCCTTTGCCGTTGGTTCACCCTCCAATGGCCGCCGCGGTCGGCGCGCTGCGGCCGGCGCACTGCGCTGATCCGATGGCAGGAGCCAGGAGCCAGGTGCTTTTCCTGGTCTCCCATGGGGTGCAGGGCCCAAGCACCTGGGCCATCCTCCACTGCACTCCCTGGCCACAGCAGAGAGCTGGCCTGGAAGAGGGGCAACCAGGACAGAATCCGGCGCCCCAACCGGGACTAGAACCCGGTGTGCCGGCGCCGCTAGGCGGAGGATTAGCCTAGTGAGCCGCGGCGCCGGCCCGCCCCCACTTCTTATCCAGCTTCCTGTCCATGTGCACCCTGGAAGGAGCAGGTGAGGGCGAAGGTAGTTCAGTTCCTGCCACCCATGTTGGAGACCTGATTGAGTTCCGGGCTCTTAGCTTCCGCCTGGCCCAGTGCCAGCTGACGCAGGCATCGGAGGAGTGGACCAGCCAATGGGAGACCTCTCGCCCTTGCTCTCTGAAACTCCTTCTCTGTGTCACTCTGCCTTTCAAACAATCAAATCAATCTCTTTGAAGTGTTGACTGTAGAAGCTGGGTGATGGGAATGTGAGCGTTTACTGCAACATTCGATGCTTTTGAAGATTGGAAGTGTGCATAACAACATGGTGAGCGACCGGCACTCGGCAAGGTGCTTTGAAGACTGTAAGGACGGGGGCCGTTATTTTTTAAGAATTATTTTATTTATTTGAAAGACAGAGTTACAGAGAGAAGTAGAGCCAGAGAGAGAGGTCTTCCATGCTCTAGTTCACTCCCCAGATGACCGCAAAGGCCAGAGCTGAGCTAGCTGAAGCCAGGAGCCAGGAGCTTCTGCCAGGTCTCCCATTCAGGTGCAGGGGTCCAAGGACTTGGGCCATCTACTACTGCTATCCCAGGCCATAGCAGAGAGCTGGATCAGAAGTGGAGCAATCAGGTGTCGAACTGGCACTATGCCACAGCGCCACCCCCTGCAGTTCATTCTTTAAAACAAAACCAAAACAAAATATAGGGCCAGAGCTGTGGTGCAGCAGGTTAAAGCTCTGGCCTGCAGTGCCAATATCCCATATGGGTGCCAGTTCAGATCCTGGCTGCTCCACTTCCAGTCTGGCTCCCTGCTGGTGCGCCTGGGAAAGCAGTGGGAGATGGCCTGGGTGCTGGAGTCCCTGCACCTGTGTGGGAAACCTGGAAGAAGCTCCTGGCTCCTGGCTTTGGATCTGCCCAACTTGGCCATTGGGGCCATTTGGGGAGTGAACCAGAGGATAGAAGACCTTTCTCTCTGTCTCTCTGTCTGTAACTCTGCCTCTCAAATAAATAAATCTTGAAAAACAAAACAAAACAAAAATCCTCCCCAGAATTCTGTTTCCAGCTCACATGGCTTAAGAATACATTATTCAGGGGCTGGCACTTTGGCACCGTGGGTTAAAGCCCTGGCCTGAAGCACTGGCATCCCATATGGCTGCTGGTTCTAGTCCCGGCTGCTCCTCTTCCGATCCAGCTCTCTGCTATGACCTGGGAAAGCAGTAGAGGATGGCCAAGTGCTTGGGCCCCTGCACCCGCATGGGAGACCTGGAAGAAGCTCCTGGCTTCGGATTGGCACAGCTCGGGCCGTTGTGGCCATCTGGGGAGTGAACCAGCAAATGGAAGACCTCTCTCTCTGTCTCTACCTCTCTAACTGTGTTTCAAATAAATAAAATAATTTTAT